CCCTGGAGTCAAGGGTGGAGATGGAGATGAAGAGATAGAGTTGGGTGTCATTCGCATGCGTATGGATGTTGACCCCATGTCTGCGGATGATGTCACCAATAAGGAGAATGTAGATGTTGAAGAGGAGGGGACCAAGGACAGAGCCCTGAAGAACTAGGCACTAGGTGTTGCATGGGCTAGAGGAGAAGCCGTTTGTGGAGTTAAAGTAGAGACAGTGTGAAGGGTAGGATCTGAACCAGTCAAGGACAGGACCATGAAGGGTGAGGTGAGAGGAGAGGTGGTGGAGGAGAATAGAGTGGTTGATAGTGTCAAAGACCTTAATGAATAAAACTAGCCTTTTTCTTCTCTGTTCACTGAAGAATTTAACTCTCGTTTCAACCATAAGCATCATCTTCCAACATCCTCCTCTTGTTTATGGACAACACGTTGTTGCTAAAATTATGGAACGTAGGAATTCTCTGTCCTATCTGAAAGGACAGCCTGAAATACTCATGGCTGAGGATATTATCTGCTTGTGAATAAAAAAGTCATCTGGTTGGTTCACACATACTAAACATAGGATATTGCAGTGTTTTTAACCTAGTTTTATATCATTGACAGTATTCTGGCAGCAAATGTGACCTATATGCTATAAATTCTGTAGCTCACAGCAAATGGCATTGCAGAAACTGAAGTAGCAACAAACTTCATCTTCAGCAAAACTCTCAATATGATCAAAACTAATTGTTTGAGAATAAAGCCATTCTTCATAGAATATTTGTCACACAAACTATTTTAATTTGGCTTTTTCATGGTTCCTTTTTAAACTTGCAGCTAATTTTAGAATTTTGCTGAGGTAGGAACTGAAGATGATTTATCACTACTGATGGTGTGGTTATTATAAAAAACAGTAACCCAGAAGCTACAGCACTAGTGCATGGGAGGGGGAATTCTCTGAACACCTGTAAGTTAGCAGAGCTTTATAGATGATAAAATTATACTGTATTCCCTGCTCCCTGCTTTCTCATAAAGTTCCCATAAAGAACTCAATGTGTAGGGAAATGCCCCTGAATTCCTGGAGGATAGAGACGAGAGATGCACGGAGGGCATCTCCAAGCACTTCACATGATTTCTTGTAATCTGTAGTGAGTGTGTATTGTGTAGGCAAATGCATCAATTAATTTGCACACAGCAGTGTCCCACAAACAGTAATGGAATGAATGACTAATTTTATCTGGGAGATTGTTGACCATGACACTGTTAGAAACTCCCTTCTCGTTTTCAATAGAGCCATGCGGTCCACCTGAACAAGTTGATAAGACCTTGGTTTAATGTCTCATCCAAAGGACAGCACTTCCGACAATATAACGAATGTTAGACTATATGAGTTCACATTATCAACGTGGGGCTTGAGCCCACAACCTTCTGATTCAGAGGTGAGAGTGCTACCAACTGAGCCATGCTGACACTGCAAATTAAGTCTGCATTGAGAGAAATTCCACTGATCCAGATTTACTCTATTTTCTGTCCAGAATTTAGCAAATATGAATTCCAATGAAGTTTGAACATAGTTTTCTACAGTTCTTCATCAGAGCTTACAGAAAACTGGATTCAAAATTAAGGCTGTATTTAAGAATTTGTCAAACTCTAAGAAAAACAGAGTGTAGGCCCGGAAAATTGTTGTTGAGAAACGTTGAAACGCTTGTCTCAATTTTATTCGCCCTCAAAATACAATCATTGCACTCACAGCAAAGTCTGTGAGCCGCGTTGAGACATCCACCCGATGTGAAAGCAGCTTTATCAAATGCAGAGGGAGTTTGGCCAAAATGCTGGTTTATTGTGGAAGCGAAACAAACCTTTCAGGTTTGCTCACCTATCCTTCCTGGCTGGTGAGCAATGACGCCGCACGTATCAGAGATATGTGCCTAGATGCTAGATACTTTCAGGATCTCAGGAGGAAAGAAGTATGGATACAGGGAGCCACAGTGGTGAAAAAATATTTTTTTGAATAATATATATTTGATGCACAACGTGAAAATACATTGTAGCTTAGTCTAAACGATACAATGATTCACTTTTGCAACTCTTTTCTACAGCAAACTTAATAATATTTGTATCCCACATTGCACAGTATATTCAAAGTATGGTTATTCTGGACATTATTTGTTATATCCTCCAGGAGATATAAAGGAGTGAGGAATTTCAAAGCTATTCCAGTGTAAGCCAAAAATGATAACCCATTTTGTGCTACATTTTTGCAGAAAATGTATTTGCTTTGGAATCACCATATGAGCATTAGTTTCAGCAGCTATGGAGAAATCCCATCCACTTCCATATGTCAACAGAGTTACGGCTTTTAAGGATTTAAAAAGCATTTCATTCATACAATTCTGGATTAAAGAAAGTAGAAAGAACGTTTGTTCAGAAATACTTTGGGTAACAGGAGAAGATCCGCCCACACCCTCACTCACATAAAGCTTTTAAATGCAAATTGATTAGTATATTTCTAAAGAGCAAGGAAAAGGGAATGTGGCTTATAAGGTTATGTTCTGGTGGCTCCCTCTGATGGCTCAATGGAAAAAATGCACTATCTGGTGTGCAACTGAACAATACAGATTGGGAAGGTTGTGTGCTGAATTAGCTGATCTCAGCTGGTTGCTAGCGAGAGAGCTATAAATGGCTCTGTTTTTGGAAGAGGCAAAGAAAAACAGAGTGCCCACTTGTGATCATCTGAGAAAGGACTTGAGTGTAGCTGTTGAGAAAGGACAAGATCAGGCTGAGCTCTGATAGTCAGATACCTTGTTGGCACTGATTGTCTATGTGTAAACAACAACCACTTGCATTTATATAGCGCCCTTCACCCGGGGTAGCACTTAAACATGCTCTGTCCCCCAAGAAAAGATCTGGAGAAAGGGAAAAATATTAGGGGCAAAATGAAACAATACAGAAAAGCTGATTGAATGTCTTACAAAGCTCGAGAGTTGCTGAGAGTGAAGAATTGATACACCAACACCCAGCCAGAAAATATTTTTTATGGGGGATATATGATTTTCCAATACAGCTAGGCAGAGTACTTTGAACAGAAAGTATTTCCCCATTAACTTTTCATCCCCTGTAAATAACCTTTTTCAGTCTGTTCTATACAGGAGGAATGAGGGCACACCTGTTCATGCAAACTGTCCCTTCAGGGTAAATCCCATTGAATTAACACAAATGTACTTATAAGGGTTTTAGATTTTACTGTAACTAGTATACATCACATAGAATTATATATAGAATTAAATGGACTTCCCAGCCCTGAAACAGACCATTCAGCCCAAGCTTTCACACTGTAGAAGCACCGTTCCCGTTAGGCCTTTGGCTTGCCGCATTAACAGGAGCTGAGTGGGAAGAATCGCTGGCCCAAGTGACTGTTCTACCCTTCCAAATCCTACTGATAAGCCAGGTTGGCTGTGCTGTCATCAGCCGTGCCCTGGAATACTGCGGATCCACCTGGCTCAGGAATTGGACCGCCACAGAGGGCTGACGCAATTTTGACATTCCAATGACAAACACTGGAGCCATTTCAGCTCCAAGAAGTCACTGCTTACCCTTCCAGGAGGATAGTCACTTGTTGGTCATTTGACATCAAGCGCAGATTTGAACCCTCAGGTGGATGACAGGTACCAGGAACTCCCTGGAAGCTTGCAGTCGTGCAGTATTCTTGCAGTATGGTGACCAGAAATGTACTCAGTATTCCAAATGAAAATATGTAAAATGTTACTAAATATATTTAGGTTAGTTTTATTTGGTGTTCAGAGTAACAGAGCAACGTAGAGTGTTGCATGTATAGGTAGTTTGTTGATTTGATAGAGAGCAAGCAAAATTGAATCACAATGTTGTTTATCATAAAGATTTGTACTGAATCAGAGACAATCACTTTATGAATGCCATCGCTCATTGAACAGGAGAAAGAAAGACACAATGTATCAAAAATATTCTGAAATGTACATTGTATGTTTTCAATAAATTAAATTCTCAGAAAGCTAGAAATGCAATTCTGCAGATAAAGTGTTTACCTATATGTAGTGTAATAGAGGCAACATAATAGATGTCTGACAATGTGTTCCAAACCAATGAGGCAAGCAGTTCTGCAAAAGATGAAGTAAAAAGTGTACCTTGGTCTAGATTTATTCAGTTTTCAAAGCATTTCTGGGTATCTGAATTTGGCAAATTCTCAAATTCTGAAGCAGATTTTCTATAAGTTATTTCAAGAACCATAGAAGTCCAGTTTCAAAGTTAAGACTGAATTCAACAATTTGACAAATTCCACATGTTCTGAAATGCTAAGAAAACATAGTAAGTCTCGACGCAGATGGAATTTCTCACTTGCTGCTTGCAAGCTTCGGACATAATCTGTGTCACATTGGCACTGAACTAATAGTGATGTAAATAAGGCCCACTGCCAAAAGGAGAAACTCCCAAAATGAACCTGTTCTCAGTGCAATGATCACTCTACTTACTATTTTGAAATCATTTCTTAATATTCAGACATTGTTCTGCATTGTCTTTCTGTTTATGCACCCAATAACAGATGACTACCTTAATCAGTCTCAACCTCCATATCAAAGGATGTGAAGTAGCCCTTGCTGTGAGTAGGTAGTGTAACCATGGCTTTCTCCATACATCACCGCTCAAACACTGCAAAACAACAATGGCCCTAAATCATAGAGATGCTTATCGGTCTATGATCTCTTTTGTGAAAAACAGGAAGAGCAGGAATGTGATGACTCTGAGTAGTCATCAGTCCTGTAGTTAATGAGTAAATAAGAGATGAGCTCAGGCATTTACAGTATTGTGTATACAGTATGTCAGAGGGCAAACTTGAATTGACTTATGCACCTGAGAGTAAATTGTGGCTTTAACTGCTTCTTAGGACTGAAGTCACAAAGAATTCTCACTGTTTTCCAATTCATGCACATATTCATTAATACAGTGAAGGGAATCTGCGATTTTAATCTGATGTGTTTTTGTATTGATAGGGTATTTCAAGACTATCAAACAAATCATGTACCATATCCCAGGTATGCTATTGCTTTTGACTCATTAGAAAGTAGCTAAAAACTTAAATGGTTGATTAAGGCAACATGCTCTATGAACACCTGAACATCTCATTCAAATAAACTGAACATAGTTGAGTAAAGAAATCACTTAAATAAATCACCAGTTATTCTAGGGATGTAATGGTTTGTGCTGTTGACCTTTAAAGATAATGAAAGACAGGCAATATTTTCTGAACAGTAGGAAGTAAAGTATTGTGATATGATGAGATGCCTCCTAAACTCCTCTACTTTGTCCAGATTAACTGGTTCACTTTAGAAATATGTCTTGTTATATTAATTTGTTTCTCAATTTAAACTTTTCCACCAGCTGTTATTGTGTTGGCTGTTTGTCAGATGTGCTCAGTTTCTGAGTAACAGCTTGTGACACCTCTGTGCTGATTTTTTTTCGTTCCATTTGCACTTAGTTAGAGTCAAAAGGAAATGGGAACTTAAACATGGAAGCACTCCCATCCATTGCAGAAGACCAAGAGGAGGTGGACGAGGAGGATGAGACAACCCCATTATCCCGTATCTCTACCAGGTTTACATCCCACAATCGGCCTCTGGACCTTAACAAGACTCTGAACACCAGAGGTTCACAGGGAACTGATCCACAGTTAGTCTCTGGCCCCAAGGCCTTCAGATCTCCTGTTAGGGGCTGCAGCATAAGCACAAGGAGCAGACATGACAGTGAACCTGTTCAAACAAAAGAGATGAAAGACCAAAATTTAAAACTGCACCTATCTGCAATAAACAACTTTGCTCCTCCACACCTCAGCCCAAGGTAACACTTGTTCAGTTTTGTACACTGGATTTTAAATGAAAACTAATTAAAATTCAGCGCCTTGGGACATCCTCTCAATGTGAAAGGGGTTATATAAATGTAATTTGTTGTTGTTGTTGAAATTCTTAAAACAAAATGTTTCTCATTTTCTTTATAATCAATGATTTAAGGTATTTTTTAGCACGTAACAAGGGAATGTCACTGCTGGAGACTAGAGCATGTACGTAACGTTGGCGTCAGGCTTGATCCATAGTTATCTTTCCTACCCCACATCCAATCCCTGACCAGGACCGCTTTCCTCCACCTCTGCCACATCACTCGCCTTTAACCATATCTTACTTCAAATGCTGATGAAATTCTCATTAATGCTTTTGTCACACCCCATCTCGATTTTTCCAATGCATTCCTCACAGTTCTCCCCAGCTTCACTATAAACAACATCCAACTGATACAAAACTCTGCAACCGTGTCCTCACCTATACCAGAATCCACCTCCCCATCATCCCAGTTCCCCAGTTCTTGCCAGACTTCAGTGGCTATCTGTTGCAGAACGGATCAATTTCAAAATCCTCATTCTCACTTTCAAATCTCTCCATGCCCGGGTACCTCCCTACCTCTCCGATCCACTCTCACCCCACTCCTCCGCTGCCTTTGCTCAGCTAGCATTGGGTTTTTCTACACATCCCTTGATCCCTCCACTTCACAATTGGTGGCTATGCTTTCAGCCATTACACCCTAAATCTCTGAAACTCCTCGCCTCAATCCCCCCCTCTTGTCCCCTCTTTGCCTAACTTCAAACCACACCTGAAGGCTTTCTACTTCTGAAGACTTCTACACAGACATCTGTCAGACCGTGAATTTTTCTATTTCCCACCAAAGCTATTCTATGGTCTGTCTGAATAAAGTGATAGGACAACTGTTTTAGAATGTAGTTGCCTGGGTCCAATGTCTCTGGTCCTGTGTTATACTGAAGCAGGAAATAAATGGTTGACTTTGGTTTGTTTTTGTTTGGTCAGTCAGGCGTCTGACACATGAGAATATCGTTGCCATGTTTAAGAATATCCATCTATTCATTTTTCACACAGCGAGTTGTTCGGTTCTGGAATGCATTGTCTGAAAGGGTGGTTGAAACCGATTTGATAACAACTTTTAAGAGAGAAGTAGATAATTATTTGGGGAGGACAAGTTTGCAGGGCTTTGGGGAGAGAGTGGGTGATTTGGATAACTCTGTTAAAAGAGCCAGCACGGCACCGAGCTGGGGGGAGTGGGAGATAACCATAGGCACGGTCGAAGAGAAAGATCTTCAGGCGTGATATGAACATAGGGAAAGAAGTGTCAAGGCGGACGGATAGAGGAAGAGTGTTCCAGAGTTTTGGGGCATAATGTCTGAAAGTGTGGTTACAAATGGTGGAACGGAGGGCATCAAGAATATGAAGAAGGCCAGAGTGGAGGCAGAGGGTTGTGGGTTGGGGGGTAAGCAGGTCAGAGAGGAGGGAGGAGCCAGAGCATGAAGGGATTTGAAAATGAATGTGAGGATCTTGAAATTGATCCGTTCGGCAATAGGAAGCCAGTGGAGCCTGGCTAGAACTGGTTTGATGAGGCTACCGAATTTAGTGAGGTGAGTATGCAGGCAGTTTTTGGATCAGCTGGAAATTCCTATGAATTGGAGGTGCAAACCCTCGACTGTCCAGCACCTTGGGGTGTCCTCCCAAAATGAAAGGCACTAAATAAATGCAAATTAGTGTTGTTGTTGTAAGGTTTCTGTTGACGTCACTTCCTGTGCATGTGTAGTAAGTGATGTTGGTGTCAAATTTGTGGTGTGCAGGACATCCTATGGGTTGTACATGATGACTTAGATGTTGGCCATGGTCTAATGGTCTACAGAGTACTTGTCATATAAGGAGTTGCCTTATAACTGGGGTTGCTCTGTATTCATAAATTTGTACAAGATATAAAATATTGTTGAACTTCATAACTTTTACCAGCAGAATACTTGCTAGAAGTTAAATAAATATGAAAAACAAACAAGTGTAGCATTATATTTGCACTTTCTACAAATCCATTTCCTATTTTTAGATCTCTCTTGCTACCTCCTGCTAACATTTCTGGGGTTTTAACTGATCAAGTTCTCCTCCCCTTCTTCACGCTGCATAATACACTGTAATAGTGATGTGTAAGCTTCTCTCCTAGCCAATGGCAGATTAGATAGGCTCATCTACCAATGTCAGCAAATTTACCCCTGACTGGAGAAAAACAACTAATCATTCTGTTTAGTCAAAATAATCAGTTGTACAATAAATATGGGTAGAATCGGTGATATTTTCAAACTATCGTTGGTGTTAAGTAGCATCCATTAGGTGGCAACACACTTCCCTCTGTAAGTGGTTGTCTCTTTTGGGCCAATTTGTGTTTTTTTACATTGAACTGACATGACTCTTATTGCAAATTCAGTTGCGCTTATGGTCACCTCCCCTTCTCTTTTTTCCTTTGCTCATTTGTCCAACCCTACCAATGTACAGTGCTCCAATATACTATCCTGTGTGAAGGGTGTATAAATACAAATTGTTAAAGTGTAAGCCCCAGACCATCTTTGTTTTCTTTGTTTAATATCTATTTTCTTTGATTGGTCTGCAGAGGAGGAGCAAAATCTACATTCTCCCTAGCAAAAGTTGAATGCTCCAGTTACTAAACAATATACCTTTGCATATAGTATTACTGTTTGCATGTGAAACAGACACTTGTATTTCCCACTGTGTGTCAGCTGTCTGTTTGTTCCTATAGAATTGTTGATGGTATTGAGGATGAAGAAAGTTCAATAGGAAACCAAAGCTTTGAGTTCTGCAGTGAAAAAATAGGACAGGAGTCATCTCAAACTACTTCAGCAAAAGGTAATGTTTTCCATTGTGTTCATATGTGGACCAGTAAGAATGAACTGTTTAACAGTGTGTGGCAAAATTTGTGGTATTGCTTAAATTAATGTCTGTGTTAATTAGTACCATAATTAATGTTTTGTGATAACTTTGTATTCCAAATGTCACAATAAATCTGTTCTAGTACATTGAATGGGCACTGGGTGGAAGTGTCCTGCCTCCCTTTCCACTCCCCCTCCTCCCCCTTCCCCTTCTTCCACTCCCCCTCCTCCCCTTCCCTTTTTACCACTCCCCCTCCTCCCCCTTCCCTTTTTACCACTCCCCTCCTCCCCCTTCCCTTTCTCCTCCTTTCCCCTACCCCTCCTCCCTTCCCCTTCTCCCCCTTTCCCTTCCCCATCCTCCCCTTTCCCCTTCTCCCCCTTTCCCTTCCCACTCCTCACCCTTGCCCTTCTCCGCCTTTCCCCTTCCCCTCCTGCTCCCCCAGCCCAGGTGGTTGTTAGGAGGAGTGGTTGCTGAATGGAGGTGGTTGCTTGAACAGGTTTAAGACAATATTTAAGAACAAGGCATCATACATTCAAATTATCAACCAGGAAATGCAGGAAAGAGTTTTAGTAAAAGAACAATAGGCAAAGTTGATCTAAAAGGAAATGGACAAGTTCTGGGCAACTAAAAGATTCAAGTTTATAATAACATTCATTATTATGTTAGAGATGAATGCCTCAAGGCAATCTTGTGGGAAATTAATTTGGGTCAATTAGATGGATTGATGGTCTTCTCCTGAATGAAATTGTTACTGTGCTACTTTGTTAGTATGAAGTCAATTTTGCAGTATTTCTAAACACATTCCATTCCTTGATATAATATCGGTGACAATGAAGAAATGTGTTATTGACAAGAAGCAGGGGGAAAGGTGGGGGACAACCACTTGATAAAGGTGATTAAAATTCTGTGATTAGGTGATGGGTCCTTTGGGGAAGTTGGTGGGGTTGGTTGGATGGATCAGTGGTGTTCTCCTGCTGGATGTTGTTACTAGGCTTGTGATATATTACTGTAATGGTGCGTCAATCCCACACAGTAGCCAGAAATATATATTTTTTAACAATTTCATTGTTCTTTTCATTGTTTTGCCAATGAAGATAAATGTCAAATTAATACACGGCTAAATCAAATGTAAGGAATGTTATTATTATTATGGATCAATTTTCTGGTGTTTCTTCGTAGAATTTCTTAAGAAATCCAGAAATGCTTTACCTATATATGCGTGAATGCCACTCTGACTCCATTTATTTCGGAGCTGGATGGCCTCAATTGTATGTGCAATGTATTTTCAGTTGCCAGAATATGTCCCCTCTCAGATTTCTCTTTTAAGAAATTCCATTAAGAAACACTGCAAAATTGTACCTATTATTAGGAGTCAGCTACATTATATCTTTTTTTAACCTCACAAAATATATAATTTTAATGTAGTAGTGTTTTGAACCAATTGAAAATGCTGCTCTAAATGTTATCATTAATGCAGAGTGCCATCTCATTAGAGAATACAGGGGAATATACAGACAATAGCTCTTTGCAAACCTAAAGGTCATGGGTTTTACATATTATTTTTTTTACAGACTTTGATCAAGTTACTCCTGCAATGCTGGCTGCAAAAGCTGAAGAGACAAAACAACAGGTCAAAAGGCTAAATGATGAGGTAGGAATAATTATTGTGAAACGTACCATAATATGATTCAGCAACAAAGAACAGACATTGTGGACCATAATTGTTTGTCTTCTCAAAAAGTTGATTTACATTGCATTGCATATTCAGTGAGGTACGGCACTACCTCACCCCTCACGCTGCTGAAACTCTGGTCCACGCCTTTATCACCTCAAGGCTGGACTATGGGAACTCTCTCCTCGCCGGCCTTCCCGGCACCTCCCTCCACAAGCCGCAGGTCATTCAGAACTCTGCAGTTCGTGTACTGTCCCGCACCAGGCTTCGCGACCACATCACTCCCACCCTCGCTCGCCTCCACTGGCTCCCCATCCCCCAGAGGATCGAATTCAAGATCCTCATCCTCACCTACAAGGCCATTCACGGCCTTGCTCCCTCCTACCTCTCCGACCTACTATCCCCCTACTGACCTGCCCGTACCCTCCGTTCCTCTGGCTCCGGTCTGCTCCACATCCCCCGCCCCAACCGCCCTACCATCGGTGGCCGGGCCTTCAGCCTCTCAGCCCCGAGGCTCTGGAACTCTATCCCCCAGTGCCTTCACCTTGCCTCCTCCCATTCCTCCTTCAAGGCCGGTCTGAAGACCTTTCTTTTTGACCGTGCCTTCAGCTCCCCTCTCAACTCTCTACCCCCTCCTCGCTCCCTCCCTTCCCCTCCCCATTTCCCTCTTGCTCGGGTCCTGACCCAACTGTACAGCGCCTTGGGACGTCCTCCCGACGTGAAAGGCGCTCTATAAATGGAATCTTGTTGTTGTTGTTGTTTTTATAAATGTTTTAGACACGTTGTCCTGAGAGAAAAAAGAGAGAACAACTGTCCAGGGTTTCCACTGCTGATCAATGCCCACTGAACCTTTCAACAATAACTTGCATTTATATATGTCAGTTACGACGAAGGATCGTGGACCTAAAACGTTGACTCACTTTCCTTTCTTCATAGATGCTGCCTGACCTGCTGAGGGTTCCCAGCGTTTTGTTGTTTTGCCTCAACCATGAACTTCCGTTTTTGTTTCAGATTTCAGCATCTGCAGTATTTTGTGTTTTGTTTGCATTTATATAGCATCCCTCACACAGGGTAGAATCCCATAGCGCTTGACAGTGTTGGAGTAAGACACCAAGCCAGGGAGAGGTGGGAGGTGACTGTATGCATAGTTGAAAAGGAAGCTCTTCAGGCAAAACCTGAAGATGAGGAAGGAAGGGACAAGGCGGAGGAATAGAGGAAGAATGTTCCAGAGTTTCAGGGCATAGGGGCTGAAAGTGTAGCCACCGATGGTAGAACGGAAGGCACAAGGGACAAGCAGGAAGTTGGAACCAGTTGAGCAGAGGCGGTGGGTAGTGGGTTGGTGAGAGGTAGGGTTGGAGAGGTAGGGTAGTGCCAGGGCATGAAGGGATTTGAAGATGAGTTTGAGGATCTTGAAATCGATCCAATCAGTGGATAGGGAGCCAGTGGAGCCTGGCTACAAATGGTTTGATGGGGAATAGTGGAGATAAGGAGACCGGTGAAGAGGGCAATTGAGTAGTCAAGGCGGTGGGTGATGAATACATTGATGAGTGTTTTGGCTGTGTTTGGGATAAGGTACTGTCACAAGTGGGCAATGTGGCGGAGGTGGAGTAAACAATCCTGGTTAGGGAGCAAATCTGGGGTAGAAATTACCCCACTGGATGTGCATTTTGATATTCTGTAATTAAAATCTGGTCATTGATGAACTCCATACTTGAGTAACCTCTAATCTCCCCCCGACTCACTGTTCAGTTTCATTCCGCCCACCATATCTGTGCTGGTATTTTAAAGATCAATCCAGTCAGTCCCATTTAACTTCCCATTCTCCACGCCACTGTAGTTTATTTTGTTTGTTATTTATCTAGTTCTCTTTTGAAAGCTAATATTGATTTTGCCTCAACCATGGCTCAAGGCAGGGTATTGCACATGCAAACCACTGTGCATGAAAAATATTCTCCTAACCTCTCCATGTTTACTAATTATCTTAAACTACTGCCCTCTAGTCACAGTACTTCTACTCCCTGACCAGTGAAAATAATTTCTTCCGATTGACTCTATTAAAACCATTCATAATTTTAAATGCCTCTATTAGATCACCTCTTAACCCCCTTTGTTATGTTTCTTTACAGAAATAAATTTTGTTTTTTGAAAATAGCTCCTGTGAATGTTTGTTAGTAAAGACTGAGCTGCACTAATGGTAGTGTCAGAACGAGGTCTGAATTGTCAGACCTTAAATGAATATAAGAATAGAAAGGAACAAAAAAGCCTTTCCACTTCACTCCAGCATACAATTACATTTTCAGCTCATTTGTGACATTGAAAGAGAAACAGTGTAAAGCACCTTCTACTTATCACAATACTGCACTTTTATCCACATGTTCACTTCACGTTGAAGCATTATGATCTTTCCTAATTGACCCCAATTCAGTGATAGGCAGCCGAAATTTTGGAACTCTCTCTCAATCCCTCTACTTTGCCCTCTCCATCCCCTCTTTTAGCTCACACCTGAAGACCTTCCTCTTCGACATGCATTGTCGGAGATGCTTTGAGGAGAAGTTGATCCTGTCTTGACTGTTCAAGTGGATGTTAAATATCCTATGAAATTTCTTGAAAAGGGAAGGGAAATTGAATTGGCATGCTAACCAACATTTCAGTCACCTCCTTCCACAACCCACACCCCACTCGGTGTCTGGCTCCGCCACTGTTAAGCTCTCCAAATCGCTGCTCCGTGAGAAGGGCGCTCTATAAATGCAAGTTGTTGTTGTTGTTGTTGTGGCTTCTCTGAATCAGATTATCAATTTAATGGTAACACCTGCTATTGTCAGTTTTGCAATGTGAATGTGTGCCCAATAGGAAGTGGGCTAATGTCCAACCAATCATTTAGTATCCTTACAGCCATCAGGAAGGAAACATTCATCTCATCTACTTCCCACCAGCTCTAACCCACTATGCTACACAGTTCCTTAGAAATGAGACGCTCCTGACAATCTAAGTAAAGCCCAATAAAATCACACATAATAAAGAAACCTACAGCCTACAGAAGAGCTTACCAATTATTTTTCTGAAAGTGTAACAACTGCACTCGTAATATTTGATTTATAAGAATAATGATAGTTCTTCCATTTGATATAAAACCTTTAACATAAAAGTGTCTCAAAGCACTTCACAAGTAATTGATATCAAGTGTAGGCAAACGCAGGATCCTATTTATGCACAGTATCAACCCACAAATTATTAAGTGAATTATGATATTCCTGGAGAATTGCTGGCTAGCATGACAATTCAAATTCCCTTCCCTTTTCATGAAATGTCACAGGATGTTTAGCAATCACTTGAACAGTAAAGATAGGATCTTGGTTCAACTTCTCATCAAACCACCTCTGACAATGCAGTGCTCCCTTACTATTACATTGGTGCCAACTTAGTCTGTTAGTTCAAAGTCCCAATGTGGGGCTAGAACTCACGGCTTCAAACTTTGAGGGGAAAATGGGCAAAAATGATGCAAACTGATCCAAGATGATATGATATTTACAATTCAAAGATTACAAAGAATATATAGCACAGAAACAGGCCACTCAGCCCAACCAGTACATGACAGTGTTTATATTCCACATGGGTCTTCATCCATTCCCTACTCCCTCCCAAATCTATCTATTCCCTCTTCATGTGAAAGTTTAGGTTCCTCTTGAATGCATCTATTATTCAACCACCAATTCAGGCAGCAAATTCTATTTAGGAGGAACTACTTCAAGTACAAAAACCTCTGCAAGAAGTAGTTCCTCCTAAATTCTCTTTCTGATCCCCTTAGTTACCAACTCCAAAACCAGTGGAAACAGCCTATTTATGTTAACCTTATTAAACTCTTTTATAATTGTAAACACTTAATATTAGGTCCCCCATGAAATGTCTCTTTAATGAAAAAAGGCCTAACATATCCAGTCTATTCTGATAGTAGTAACCTGCCAGCCCTGGTATCATCCTTGTAAACCTATGCTGTATTCTTTCCATCACTGCTATATCTTTCTTATAGTATGGAGACTAGAATTGGACACAATATATGGTCTAACCAAGGTTTTGTACAAATTCAACATCACCTCTTCACTTTCATATTCTATCCCTCTGGATGTAAAGCCCAAAATCCTATCAGCCTTTATATAGCCTTATGTGCAGCTATTTTTAGAGATTTGTGGATCTGAATCCCAGATCTCTTTGTTCCTCCACTCCTCTTACGTTCCTATCATCTAGAAGAAAACGGCTTCTTTATTTTTCCTGCTGAAGTAAGTTACTTTTGATTTTTTTTCATTAAACTTAATTTGCCATCTATCTGCCCATTCAGTTGACCTGTTTAGGTCTTCCTACATTCTTCTGCAATCCCCTTCACTGTTCACCTTGCAAACTTTACATACCAGAATCCAAATTATTTATGTATATGGTAAACAGGAGCGGTCGTGACAGAGATCCCTGCAGAACACAGGGATCTGGTCTATGTGCAATCTATTAAATAAACTAGCATTAGTTTTAATCTATTCATCTGTAGAAAAATAAGATGTTAAGTACTAGTGATTTTACCACTTCCACAAACAAAATTGGTCATTCATTTCATGTTTGTGGGACATTGCTATGTTCAAATTGGTTGCCATGTTCACCTACAAACAACAACAACTTGGATTTATATAGCGCCCTCCACACCGGATGGCGTCTCAGAGCGCTTCACAGTAACGGATCCCGGGGCCGAGCCAGGGGGAGGGGGAGGAAAGTGATCAAAGGTGGTCGAAAAGAAAGTTCTTCAGCAAAGACCTGAAAATAGGAAGAGAGGTGATGAGGCAAAGGGAGTGAGGAAGGGAGTTCCAGAGCCTCGGGGCATAGTGGCTGAAGACATGGCTGCCGACGGTGGAGCAGAGGACTCGGGGGACAAGGAGGAGGCCAGTTGTCTAGGAACGAAGGCAACGGGCATTGTTGTGAGGAGAGAGGAGGTCAGAGAG